CTTTGCGATTATATGCTTTTTTCTTTATTCAAAACTTTGAACATGTTCATGAACTTTGAACCTAGGTTCAATAGGAATACTAGTGTTAGGGTTTGTGTTAGAGTTTTTAGCTTTATATATTATAGGTAAAATTGCATTTCCAACACTTTTTGTTAGTACTTAAAGGCTGATTTAAACACCAGTTTTCAAGTATTTTCACTTTTTTCTCTTTTTTTTTCTTGCACATGTGTTTTGTTTTGACATTGGACTGATCCAGGATAATCAAAATTTATGAATTCTGATTGGTCATTTTCTATATGCCAAGTCACATTACTGCAAAAGTGTCTAGACCCTTGGCAGGGCTATTAATATCGTAACAAGAATATTATTATTCATAATCGATCTGTAAAAATTAAAACGTGAATATAAAAAGACCAGTTATTTTTATTCATATTCAAGAATCAACTTTTGCTCATTATACGCACTTTGTAGATATTATCAGAGGTATGGATAATGTTAGTGCATGTGTATTATAAGAATAGTAATGTTTGAAGCAGAATTTTTACAGTAACTTACAATAGAACTATAATAATTCTAATGCAACCTAACTTAACTACATATTATGATTATTAGAATAGCAGGCAAATTTTATAAGAAACTATAATAATTCCAATTCAAACTAACTCAACCTTAACCACATATTGTATTTATTAGAATAGCAAGAATTTTTTTACAGTAATTCATGATTTAATTGGTTACAATAATCTCAATGCAAACTCAACCTTAACTCCATATTATGCGACAAATAGATTTGTAAGAAAATTTTTTTATAGTAATTCATAATAGAAATTACAATAATTTTAATAAAAATTAACTACCTTTCTATTATTTCCAGTAGCAAGCTCGGAACAAAAGTTTAAGCAATAGAAATTATGATAATTTCAATGTTAATTAACTCAACCTCATAAGAAAAATACAAAAAAATTCTAATGCAATTTAACTCAACAACACTGCGGTCACCATCAAAACAAGTAAGTGTTGCAGAATTTTTTACTTAACTAATAGAGAAATCATAAAAATTCCAATGCAAAAATCTTACATGATATTAACCATTTACTGCAGTGCTTAAAGTAGCAAATATTTTGTAATATCAATGCAAACAAACTCAATTTTGGCTATTGTATACTGCATTATTGATTTTTTCAATTTAGAAAGAAAAATCTAAATTAATAAAAAAAGAAGTCTATTTCAAAAAAATTTGTATAATGTGACAAAGATATCACAAATAAAATATAATAGTCCAAATTCAACATTTCAAGAATAGATAGTAGAGATAAAATATTGAGGTTTAGGTGAAATGAATTTTAATTCAATATAGCTTGATAGGCTTAAAAAAAACCCAAACAGTATGACAGGGGCGCCGGTGGTGCCCCCATCTTTTACTTGTATTACATAAAAATTACCTCTAAACAAATACTGTATCATTACTATGCACACGAATTTTGAAAATCATGTACATGTTTTTTGTAGGGATATTTTAATGAGCCCTGTACTGTTAAATTAAATATTATATAGATAAGTATATCTAATTCTTGTTTAAAAAAAATCTGTTATTATAATATAATAGAAATTAAATAAGAAAAAACCTGATTTAAAATTTCTAAATTTATCGTTTAAAGTTTCTAAAATTTACTCTGTATATTCTTATAATAAATTATTATCCATTACGAGGTTCCTGTATATTTTTACCGATCATTTTTTCATGTAAAAAATAAGGTACAATTTACATTCTTAATTTATTTCGAATTACCAATTTATTTTAACGTTAAAATTATGAGTTTTATAGCTATAGGAGTAATCTGATTATCCTCCAAAGCATATAAAAGATCAGTAATGATTATAAATTTGAATATTTTTATGGAATTTACTAGAACCAAATTCATGGAACAAGAGTATAAAATGTATAAAATACACAATAACAGATCGTACAGAATATTTTTTTTTAGAAATTACAGAAGACCCGAATAGTCGAGTGACAAAATAGTATAAGTAAGTTAGTCATATCACAAAAAATCAGCAGTCTCGTGATCTCCAAGCCTCTCAGACTGACTAACATTGAAAACGACCTAATTAAATCAGTTCCTCATCATTAATATATAGTGCATAATAAAATAGTCGATATATAATATATATTTGAAATTAATCGATATTTATATTTATATAAAGATAAATATGTTTTATATATTTTCAAAATTAAAAAAAAAAGTAATTCTCATGAAATTAATATAAGTTTGAAATTAAAAGATGAAATTAATTAAACATTGTTAAATTAAATAAGCAAGTAGTTTACGCAAAATTAATTGTAATTAATTTATAACTTGTAGTTTATGCAAAATTAATTGTAATTGATTTATAACTTGTAGTTTACGTGATATTAATTGTAATTGATTTATAACTTGTAGCTTATGCGAAATTAATTAATTATAATATGAAATTAATTGCATAGTAATTCATTATAATATCAGTTTGCGCAAATTTAATTGATATTTTATTTAAAATTAATCATAGTATTAAAGCAAAATTATTTTTTCAAACCGACCATAATTACTATATAAATTTTTGTAATTAATCATTTAATTCAATGAAATTAAATATGCAGTAAATGCAAAATTATATATATTAAAGTTATAACCAAATTCTAGCGTTTATTTTTCGACACATCAGGAACTTAACTACACAGCATACTTGTTATAAAATTGTAATTAATTCGCCATCTAAATTATATACATAAATTTACTATCTAAATATATTTATTTCACCATCCTGCTTATATGTATTTTGCTATCCTGCTCATATTAATTTTGCGATTCTGATTCTATTTATTTCAATATCCTGATTCTATTTATTTCACCTTCCTAATTGCTATCCTTACTATATTCATTTTGCCTGATTCTATTTATTTCTCCATCCTAATTATATTCGCTTTGCTATTCTAATTCTACTAATTTTGTTATTCTTTCACTATCCTCGTTCATCCTGATTATATTTATTTCACCATCCTGATTCTATTTATTTATTTATTTCGTCATTCTAATTTTATATATTTCACTATCCTAATTATATCATTTTGCTATCCTGATTATATTTATTTCACTATTTATTCGCTATCAGATTTATTTCAATTTATTTCACCATACTTATACATATCATGCTCTAGTAAAGAATGGCTTCTTCTAGTAAAAGTGCAGAAAATCTGAACAAACATGAAAAAAGATGCACCTGTTGTGGAAAACTCAGAGTCATTGAAAACTTTATTCGGCAGGTCGGAGATTGTTTAAATGAAAATGCTACATATAATGCTTGTGCAGATCAAAAAAAAGGAAAATCAGTAAATATTGTAAGTGAAGAAACTACATATTCAGAAATTTTAAACCTAGCTGATGTTGATGATAATATTTCAGAAGAAAGAATTCTCAGTGATAATAGAACATTATATGATTTATCACAGCTAGGAAAATAATTGCAAATAATTTTATAAATATTAATGAAGTACATTTTTCTGGAATTTTTAGATTAGAGAGCGAATTAGTTAGTGATATATTAAGTAATAATCAAGAAGAAAGTAGATATCTCGATATAGCCTCACCTTTTCTTTTACCTATTGAAATTGGATCTCATTATTATTGGGAAATACGAAATATTTACCCTCACAAAAAGAATAACCAATTTACTGGAGATGTAACAGTATATCTTGGTTGTGCACAAAGGGATGATCAGAAATATACAAGCTCTGATAATTATCCAGTAAAAAGAATAAGTGAAACAAGGCAAGCAATTAATCGATATCCTTGTAATAGAAAAATTAAAATTATTGTTAATACAAATAAGTGTATAGCAAATATAGAAGTTCAATATTTAATATCTCACGATTATCCCACATATCAGGAAAATAATTTACTACAAAACGCCATTGCCTGGATATTTAGAAATACAAACAGAAGTCTCTGAAAAATTGAACTTTATAGAAAGCTCTCTCAAAAAAGACTTATAAATCCTAAAATTCATACTTATCATCAAGTATACTACTGGATTTCTAAAATTTTCTCTCAACAATATATTACAGGTACATCTAATCAACTTCTTTCAGCTTGCTATTTCTTAGAAAAAAGTGAACTAATTAATCAAAGCTATAAAGTTATTTTCTATCTTGAAAATAACTTTATTTGATCATTAGACTTTACTACACCTTTTCTACAAATGCAAAATCGTATTACTGAAATAATTATTGATTCAACTTTTAAAACCAATCAAGAAAAGTTTGAACTTTTTGCCGTAATAAATAATCGCGGTAGGCATGGAGTTCCATTAGCATATTTATATTTTTATACTTCTATGGTGCCAGAAAATCTTCTACAAAATCCAAATAATTATATTAATACATGAACAAAGGTTTTAAAAAAATTCTTTTCTGCATTAAGAAGTAATGGAGTTTTACTTAGCTTTGTTCTTCTAGATAAAGATGCTGGCGAAATATCAGCTGTAAAAGAAGCTTGGACAGAAATAACAAATATTCAAATTTGTTTATAGCATATAGAACATGCCATTGAATGAAAGTTAAAAGAAAAAAGAATCAAAACTAGTCAATATACTTTACAAGTTGCTGCTAATGCCAAAAGTATATTCGAATTTATTAATAAATCTTGAATACCTGATGGACGAGAAAGTATTTTTTGCCTTGAAGAAAATATAAAAGAGGTCTTAAGAATAGTCAAAAAACATGCTCTATTGCACTCTCTTATTCCTATTAAAAAAAATATATTTCTTACTTTCAATGAAATTTATCAACAAAGCGTTCAAGAAATATATAATTACTGTAAAACAAAAAATCTTGTTTAATTATAGGGATATTTATGGGTTAATTGGTACAAAAAAAGCTATTGGGATCTCTTCGCTCGTGCATCCTATTCAAAAGTCTTACCATTATCAAGAACTACTATGTTAGTAGAGTCTTATTGGCGTGTCTTAAAGCATAATTATAAAAATAACTATAACCAATCTCATCTGGACTATTTAACATATATAATAACAAAAAAGCTAGTTTCAAACCAAATAAATAAGCAAGATAGAATTTATAATAATCGAACATTTCCATCATAGTGGGGTGCTTTTAAAAGAGTTTAGAAAAATAGTTTAAAAAAAGAAATAAGTATAGAAAGTGGATATCATACAGATATAAACTTGTGGGTTTGTTCTTGCTCTACCTTTGTTGAAAATTCTTATATGCTATATAAGCATCTTGTCAAACATGCAAGTGAACAACACCAAAATTTCTTTCTTTCATTTAAAAGTACAATACGAAGACATGATTATCCTTTTATATATTTTGGTAAAGAAGACATTCCAACTATTTATCTGCTAAATAGCCCTTGGAATGAAGCCAATCAAAGTCTTTTAATTGAATCTGAAAATATAATAGATGAGGACATTAGTATTGAATTTGAATTTCATGACCAAAATGAATTAATCGAATCTAGAAAAGCAGAGATTAATTAGGATAAAAAAATATTTGAATCTTTATTAATAATCATTTCAGATAATATTGAAAATGATTCTTTTTATACTACTTACCAAAAACTAAAATGGCCTTTAATAACAGAAACAATGGCCTGTCTAGAAGCTTTGCAGGCTAGACATCAACAAAAAACTTGGAACCCTTCTCATAAATCAAAGCTTGCTTTTTGGTTACAATAAATTGCTTTATATTCTAATCGTTATTAGCTAGTACTTTGTTAATATACATTTATTAAATATAAAAATTTGTAGTTCAAAACAACTAATAACTTTTCTACTTAGCATTGAGTGTAAAGATCTCTAAAGATCAAGATTAAAAAAAGTTTTCTTGTATGTACGTACATACATACGTACGTATATAACATTTGTAGCCTGAATAGTCTTTGTGACTTGGAGATCACGGGACTGCTGATTTTTTGTGACATGACTAACCTACTCAAATAGTATGGTAAGAGGGTGTAAAATACATGTATGTATGTATCTATTTTAAAAATTATACTATACTTATCTCATTTATCAATATTGTATATGAGTGCCGCCAAAGGAAAATCTATCATTGGACTTCCAATTATATTTTTGCTGTCTATGGAAAATCTGTTATTATGATAGATTTTCATAGACGGCAACTGTACACAAAATATAATTGAAAGTCCGATGACAGGTTTTCCCTTGGCGGCACTCATATGAAGATGTATAATTTGTGAAATTTATACTATATACTACAAATTATATTTAGATCCGCCCATTATAGCATCATACAAAATGAAAAATTATGTCTTTATTTTCTACTGCAGGGAAATAAGCCAGTAGATCTCTGGCTATATAGGCCCTTATATAACCAGGATTGCGAAAAATAAATAGTACTTATTCATTTTTAACTTAATTTCCTATTTCATTGATTTAGTTGGTAATGATCATAACACTAGGTGTATTTAAAATAAGTCATTTCTTTATATTTATATTAAATTAGTGATAAGTATAGTCTAGTGCATGGCAAATCAAACAAAAACTTGATTTTTAAGTTTTTGAATTTATCAATTTACAGTATTGGGCATTAATACAAATTTTACTTTTAGTAAATATATAAATCTAACAGGCAATTGATCTTACTGTACTAGAAATCAGATTAAAATAAAAATAGATTTTAGATTTTGTAATTAAAGTACAATACTGTAAATCAATAGTTTCAAAAACTTGAAAATCAAGTATTTTGCTGTGCACTAGAATAGTCCAAAAATTTTTTTTACTGCTCCTTAGGTTATTCTATCTCGTTAAGATTATAAAGTATCTACCATTTCTCATTAAGTCAATTATTTAGGGGAAAGGGTTATGGCACGATTCCCTGAAAGTTATTTACCTGCCAACTCATTTCCTTGACACCACAATGCCAACATGATATTTCATTTATAGCACATTTTTTTGATAGACATATGTTTGACATTACATTTTTTTGACACTCCTTTCTTAGATAATACATTTCCCGAGACTGGGGTAAAATCGCCACCCAAAAAAGTTTCGAAAATCATGTGGTATTGTCAATTCATCATAATAATAATATTTAATAAAGTATTAATTAATTCAGAAATAGTTTTGTTTCTTCGATTATTTAAAATGTAAACTGATCGTTAAAAGCAAAATCAAATAACACAATAATCTAAAAATGCACATTATTCATCGTAACCAAAATTTCCACTAATGATAAATGAAAAAAGAAATAAAATTATAAAAACTAATTAGGGAAATGCAATTATACCAGAAAATCTTATAGATTTTATTTTGAATGCTCTTCCGGAAAACTATAACTGATTACTTATTTGTGAATTCAAAATGCAACAAAAAAATTATTGAAGAAAACATGATTAATCCAAATAGTAATAAATAAAAATTTTGAGCTATTGCATAAATTGGAGGAGGATTATATTCATTTTAAAAGGCAATAGAATATTCCATAATACTTTATAAAAGTAATAAATATTACGTTTATTGAGTTTATTTGAAATAATAAAATGATTAATTTATTGCTAATCGTTATTAATTTTTAGTCTGTTAATTTTTTGTTTGTTCAAAGTTGAATGACTTTTTTGGTGCTCGACATATTTATCACATGATGATCGAAACTTTTTTGGGTGACAATTTTACCCCGGTCCATTTCCTGACAATAAATTCCCGACATATAATTCTAACCAACACTAATTCTAATTCAAGTCAATTTTATATTTGAAGAAATGATTATCGGGAAAATATTGGTGGGATACGTGATGAATTTTGTGATGATCATCGGCAAATTTCGGTAATAGTTTTCGATAATATAAATCTCAGCTGGTACATTATTTTGGTATAATTTTGTACTGGCCGAAATTTATATTATCGAAAAATAATTACCGAAATTTGCCGATGATTATTACGTGTTTTACTAATTTTCAAATCAGCTATAACTAAGAAAAGTATAATAGAAAATATGTTATATTGAATATATGTCTTATCGAAAAAATGTGCTGTATATGAAATAGCATGTCGGCATTGCAGTGGGGTGTCCAATGTACTATGTAAATCATTATATGTATAGTCCCTTATAAAAATTAATTAGTGCGATTTTTTGTGTA